TGGACTGATTTGACACTTTTTTAAAAGTAGAAAGGGAAGAAGGCTTGCATTCACTTAAAAGAATTAATACCCTAGACTGCTGACTGATTGAACCTCTGAAGCGTAATTTTAAAATGGAAATGTTCGTAGAGTATCCCTTTATTGCCAAGGGTTTTAAGGACGAGTTGGTTTGGATATTTTCCCTTTTTCATACTGACACTGGTGCTTTTATCAATTTAAACACACTAACATTAAACCACTAAAAGGCATGTGGGTTTCAATAAAACTCATTTTTTATATCTTCAGCCCATATAACCAAATGAGCTGCTTTAACTTTTTCTAAGCAGAAAAGATAATAAAGCTAAATGAAAAGTCCCAGAGCTTAGTTTTAAGACTAAATGGTATTTTAGATGAAACAGTTAAGGAAAGTACAGTTTGTAACTCTGAGATAAAGATAATGGCTTAAATCTATCTTTATATTATGGGTATTCTTCTTGAAGATGCAAAATTGATAAACACATTTTCAGTTCTCACTGGCATGAGCTGCTACAATCTGAGTGAGACCAAAGATGCTGTTATTGAAAGAGCATTTAATGAATATTGGGAATTGCAGGATCTTTCCCAAGTATACCACTAGCATGCTGGCAGACTGTAGACAAATTGCTTCTGTACTTCTGCTTTCTAATCTGCAAATCAAAGATAATAGCATACACTTCTAATGCAAGATCTGTTGATCCCTAAATAAGAGACATTGTAAGCTTGCCTATCATTTTGCCTATTCAGTTGGTTTCTTGAAATAGCTTATGTTAGTTAAGATGAGAGAAAATTAAGAACAGAAAGTAGTACCAGACAGACATAAGTTTATTTGAAGGTCTTGTAATGAAGTAAGGAAAGTACTCACATAACTACAGAATGAATAAAATAGTGATTAAAGCAGTAAAGCAAAATGTGCACACCTAATAGACCATAAACAATGTGAAAGACATACAGAGCAAGCAGCAATAAAGACAGAGTCATTAAGACATTTAAAAAGCACCAATTAGGGCCAGGAAGGAACACTACCAGAAAAGGAGTGCATTTATATACATACTTGCATGTGCATGTGTGTGCATGTGTACTCACAGTCATGCAGAAAGAGAAAGAAAAATATCTAATATCCTTTAGGTTGGAAAGAAACTTCAGGAGTCAGATTCTCTTGGTGGTATTTCATTGCTTCAGCCATCCAATAGAATGCAATTCACAAATGAATTAGGGCTGTGGAGAGGGAAGATTAAGACTGATTCTAGCTTGCACATATAAAGGGTACTGCTTTTTCTAAAATTCACTGCAGTATGCAATTACAAACACATATAACTAGGTGACTTAGATCTCACAGAATGACCGCAGTGCTGCTTTCTGCATGACTTGGCTATGCAACCAAAATATGCAATGTAAATCAGAAAATAATTACCCCGAGGATTCAGAAACTATTCTAAGAGTGTTTTTTGAGAAATAAGGAAAAAGCAGTCATGAATTTGGCTAATTATTCCAGAAGACAGAATTACTGCTCTTTACATTTAACAAGGAGTTCAAAAACTAACAAGGTGATTTGTATCTCAGCAGACCATCAACTCTAGCTGTATATTTCCTCATGGTAAAGAAATTTCTAAGACTCTTATCAAACTAACTACCAGTAAAAATCTAAGCTTTTTTTTTTTTTTGCATCCCTCTTTACAAGCAGGGGCACTGACTGTCTACCTCACCTGAATTCTCACTCTGCTGACCTCCAAGAAAGCTGTTTGTTATGGTTGTCTTTCAATATGCTATTCCTCTATTCAAAAGTTATTTCTTCAAAAGCTATTTGGATGAATAGGATGAAAGAAAAGGAGGAAGATAATGGCACAGAGACATGGAAAGTAAATTACACAAACCTGATCCCTTTGGAACAAAATATCACCTGCATATGTTCAAGTGAGTTCAAAAACCTCCATGACATAGAAGTTTCATAGAGGTGACTGATAAATCAGAGCAGAAATTTTAATCCATTCAGTATAGCAAGTAAATGCTAACTTTTATTCTCTGACCAATGGAGGGACGCCTGTTTTAAATACCTCAGCTACTCACGCTTGAATTTCATCCAGACAAACTATCTCATGGGATTGTGGATCCATGGTATGCATTGAATGCAATTAACTTCCCAGCTTAACATATTGCTCTAGAAATAGCAGCAAACACAGCATGGCTGTGGCATCAATTTTTTAAGATATTAAAGAGATAACTTCCTTGTTTTGTAACTTCAACTATAAATCACGGGAAAACAAATTTGTAGTGTCTCTTTGTCTTATTCCTCTTTGACAAGTGCTTTAGATAGAGTGGGGAAAAAATCAAAACTGGAGACATACATATTTTTTCTGGTACCAGGAAGACATATTCCACCTAGTTAACACTCTCTGCTAAAAGAAAAGCTTTTATGACATTTTACAGAAGGAAGATAACTCCACTTTGTGACATGCAAGTTTGTCCTTGAGGTCAAAAACCACAAATGCAGATGAAGAACCCCTTTTTTATCCACTTCTAATTTTCAGACCCTGGACTTCCTTTTCTTCTCAGCTGTGTGTACCTCTCAGGTCACCACAGCTTCCTTCACTGAAAAAAATTAGCATTCTCCTTAAAGATTTTATGTCTATGGCGCCAACAGACTATTGCCGTACCACTTGACATTTTTTTATGGAAGAATGTTACCCATAAAGAAACCTAAATTAAGTGCAAATTTAGGTATTTAAAGAAGTTAAAGTTTCAGAAGAGCCAAGAGGTTGCATGCATAAACTGAGGCCAGTGTATTTTGCAAGCGCTTAGAATCTCTGTGTCATTAAGGAACCAGACATCAAGTTACTCTCTGCATTATCAGGACATTCTGAAGAACCACCAAACCTCCTACTAAAGAATTATATGCAATGCTTCTGAACAAAGGGAAAAATAGAAACTGAACTAATAATTTATAGAGTTGTAATACAGTTTAGTCTTACACTTGCTTAAGTTTCACATTTTATCTCCCTGAGTCAATGACTTCTTCAAATTCCTTAGAGAATGCAAAAGACCAGAAGTAGAAATGCATTATCCTTTATCTAGTGTGCATGAATAAGATAACATCATATTATGTTTTATGGAACAGGCACAGCAAACAAGAAGTAGCTAGCATTTAATGAACATGGTGCTTAGTTTTAGCAAATTTATCTGTGTTACTTCTTTCACCTCTGAAAAACTCAGATTGTATTTAAAGCACATCTTTTAAATGTAAGAGCATACAATTATAACTGAACTGAAATCTTAGGTTTAGTGCATTGGCATGAACACTGCACAATTACTGCAATTACACTCAGGCTTGTACTTTACAAAATATCCTCAAAAATCACAGTGTGGTATCCTTTAGTCAACTAATCACAGCTTTACTGTGAGAGTGATCACAGAACTCAAACTTTTACAAATAGACTACTTATTGTTTAAATACACCTGGTGTAGCTGTCATATTCCCATTGCTGTTATTTTAACCACACATTGATTATTCATCATAAAACTTCTTGTAATAGCTTAAAAAAAATGCGCTCTCTAGCAATAGCTGGGATTGGATAATGAAATGAATCCCAGAAGCATTTAAGTTCAGATTCATTGAAAGGGCATTTCTATTAAGAGGAAAGCACCTCACTTGCCAAATTCAAACCAAATCCTAGGCATAGGTGGCTCATCTGTTCCAATGGCATTCATTACCATTCCTGTCCTAGAAGCCAAGATACGCCTCTGAGCTCTTGTGATGATATATTATAGGGGGAAAGAAAAACTGTTTTATAAAGAGTTTCCTGGCTTACAGCCAGACAGTAAGAAACGTGTATGGTGAAACCATTCCATCTCTGTCTATACTGATGGGGAAAAAAACCCATGATGAACACGTATTGAGACACAACTGCACATAATGGGCACTGTGTGACAGCACTCCAAAGTGTCCCATGGACATTTATTGTCTTTAGAAGAAAAAGAAGTTTTAAAGCAGCTTAAGCAAAAACTGGTGAATTTTTTATCAGCCTGGAGTGAGGAGGGAAGCAGGAAAGAAGGGTATTGGCATTTAAAACCCTTGTTGCTTTGTTGGAGTATATGGTGATCTCAGGAAATCAGACAACTTTTTTATCCTGCTACAATGCAAATGGGAAAAGAGGTTTACACGTCTCTTTCCATGTTGCGCTATTGTTTCAATTTTCTTACATGCTTCTTGTTCCCACTGTGGTGAAAGATGCAGCAGCTGCTCCCTCTCTTCACTCATACATGAAGAGCAGAAGAGAGAGGTCAGCTCTTGTGAATGACTATTCCATGGGGAGGAAAGGACAACAGTCCCAAGAGCCCATCTGCTGCCGACTCATCACATTTGAAATTCCCAAGGAATTTTACCTGTGCACCTCAGAGACAAAGCAAGGGGGCCTCCAAAATTAAACTGTGGAAGGGGAGAGGGAATGTTGCCTCCCTTGCCTTTCCCAGGAAGAGATGGACAACTCCATATGGGTTCTTTTAAGTTTAGTGCACTGGTTGCTCTGCAAAGTCTCCCTTTGATTCCAAGGGAACATATTGCAGAAGGAGGTATTGCTTACCATTTGTAATGTTGGTAGGATAAGATTTCCCCTTTGAAAGGGGAGAGAAAGGGGGTGAACATCAAGGCTTAGTGTGCCAAGACTTGAAAATATATTTACATGCCAAAGTGGAACTCTTGCTTTGAACACCAGCCACAACAGCCTTCTGCACTTTGGGTAGTTCATTAGCAGAAATCAATACAAGCTGCATTTTAAGAAAGCTAACACTTGTTCATCGACACACTTTGTAATTCCTTTTAGCAGAAGTATCAATGCTTACAAATGTGCAGTAAATTGTGGTGAAACTGCAGAATGTCAAGGCTACTGAAAATAGTTTCATTTCAGCATAAACTTGAAAGATTAACCTAAATACAATGAGAAAAACAGTAATCACTAAGAAACACAGAAAAAATAAAGTGTTGTCTTTACCTGGAGGCCCTTCTTCTCTATCTTTTTCTGGAGTATTTGAAGGCACTTGGTGAAATCTGTGAGGTCCTGATCCATGGTCTCAATTAACTCACATCCCTGGTGAAGAAGCAACAAAACAAAGAGAGAGGGAAAAAACAACAAAAAAAGAGTAATTTTTCTATTTTGAGAACTAATGATGTCTTTGGTGAAATTAACTGCAGACAACCACTCAGAGTCTCTGCACGGAGATGCAGGATTAAGTAAAAGACTCTTACAGAGCCTAATAACTGTAGGTCCCAGTTGAACTAGTTACTATGAACCAACAGTTTGACAGGTCCAGGAGTATATACTCAAAGCCATTTGAGTGCATCTGTGAGTTTGGATAAGGATGTTTTACAATGGTCTGCTGGATGGGCAAATTCTGGTGTAGTGAGCCCTGGGTGATTGGTAATTTTCAGGAAAATGTCTGTCCTGTCTGGCACTGCACTTATTGTGTCTCCACTACATACATTCAAACCTGTATAAATGTGAAAACAGAAAAGTGTTCAAGCACCCCAGAAAGAGTGTAGTTGTACTGCAGTCAATTTACAGTGGTTCAACAACAGTTTCCTTGCACTGGGCTATTACGGATCAGAACATGTTAGAGAAAAGCAGGAGTTCAGATTTCTTAACTGAAAGTAATTTCTCAGTCTCTGATAAAAAGCTGAGTAAGGAAAAGTGAAGTGTATCTACCACATAAAGTCACTATTCAAAAAGGTTTAAAGAATAAAAAATACCTAATACAGCATTGTGAATTAAAATTAGAGTCATACACATTGGATTTAGAAGTTTCCTCTCCTACCACTTCAAGGTTCCCTTAAAAGCATCTTAGCTTTGTCTTACTTGACAGATTTTATGTTTCTGCTATACACAATAACAGCTGATAAGAGAAAAGCATTCAGAATACAGAATCTTTGTATGTGTGCCTCTGTGTATAAAGTGCATTACTCTGTTACACCAGAAAAAACCCCAAACAACAAAGCCAACATAAAAATGCTAAAGTTGCCTTTACCTTGGTGATAAAAATAAAGGTAGAGAAGACAAAATTTCCAAGATTAGTGAAGGCATGGAGTTTAGTGAATTGCATGCAACAAAGTAACAACCCTCCAATAGGAAGACATACACTACCACTGAAATGCTTTCCCACACAGCCAGAATGCATTTAAAACCAAATAAAGTCATCAGGCAGTAGGGGATTTTGATAAAGTAGAAGAGAAAAGCGAGAAGATAATAACAGGCTTTCCCTTACACTTCTCAAAAACTTCTGAAAGAAAACTGGTCAAAGGTAGCAGTCTTTTTGAGACCTGATATTGCTCTAAATATTTTTTCAAGTAGTAATAATAGGCTTGCCAAGATGAAGCAGCATGTAGCTGCAACAGCACATGTAATCAGAGACCTCCATTGCAGAAGTGATGCTGCATCCCCTGCCAAGCGGTGAGGGAAAAGGTAGTTGGATTCTACACTCAGTGCTAAGCACAAAACTCTTTGAAGAGCTGTCATATCTTCACTTTTCTCTAGAAAAGACCTAAAATGTAAAATTGGCAAGAGGAGATGTGACACAGGCCATCTGGAGCCCGTAATGAATATGTGAGTCTGGCAACATCAGCCAGAGACACCCAGTGAGCCCAGGAAAGGAGCCCAGGGGGTTGTTCAGTCCCACTCAGGAAAGCTCAGTCAGACCTGAAAACTACTGAAGGGAACTTGTTTATCAAAGCCACTCTAAATGAAAAAGTGTCACATTCATTAAGGATGGGGTGTTCTCAGATAGTTTTGATATCAGCATTGATAGTGGGAAGAGAGACCAAGCTGTGAGAAACCATGAACAGACAGGACCTCAGTATTTCTCAGACAGCCTCTGAGCAGCTCGAGAACATGACAGATGAAGACTAAATCAGTGGCAGGGACAGCTACTGCTGAGTATGTGAGAAGACACAACCTCAGTTGCCAGCTCTTAAATTAGCAATAGAGAAGTCAAGCTTTTCATCTTTTGCCAGGGCCATTCCTTGGCTTCACAGCACTGGCAGAAGTAAGCGGTTTATAGATACCAATTTATGAATGAAAAATTTAACTCCCACTCCTTAAGCAAAATACTCCTTCCTGCAGTCATTAACAAGCCTGATGTTGAACAGAAAGGTTTGTCAGCAGAAGGTGGGCTGCAATTCTACTTTCCACACAAGGAATACCAAGGTGTCTGGGTTTTTTTTTCCTTGGTTTTTTTTTTTTTTTTGGTTTTTTTTTTTTTTTTTTTTTTTTTGGGGGGGGTTTGGTGTGTTTTTTGGTTGGTTGTTTTTTGAGGGTTTTTTGGGGTTTTTTGTTTGTTTGTTTGTTGGGGTTTTTTTTGTTTTTGTTGCTTTTTTTTGGGGGGGGGTTGGTTTTTTTAATGATGGTAATAATTTAACACCTTAAATTATGATTTATTATTTTATGCTACTATTAGAAACATTTCTTTTGAGTTTAATTATTGCCCAGCATGTCAGAATATTCTTTGACAAAAAATTATTCTAGAGGAACTGCAAGGTACTACCAAGGCAAGACAACATTAGCATAGTGATTGGAGGGCACTGAAGGTCATTCAGCTCTGGGAGAAAGTTGTGCTGCACCATGCATAGACAACGTAAGTTCAGCCCTGCTACTGTTTTCTATGCATATTCACAATAAAAGGCCTCAAACACATATCACTGGAATGCAGCGTAAATATGTGAATGGGATGTCAGATGCACTGTTCATTAGAGGCAGAGTACTGCACCTATGAGTACAGTAAGAGCTGGTGCTTATAAGTGCCTGAAGCTGTTTACTCACTGCCTGTACCTTTAATACTTGCACATCATCATATCAAAAAATGGTGATAGAGTGCTACCATTAAAGCCACCACTTTCTTCAAATTAAATTGTGATTTCTCATTCTCTTTCCACATCAAACAGATAGCCAGTTGTAGAACTGGCAGAGATTTTAGTCCTGCTCCTTTTGCCACAATGCCAAAGAGACTGACATGGTCAGATTGAACAGGGGGAGGGGACAAGCAGCAGCACTGGATCCTCCATCCTCTTTGCAGTCTTGCTGAAATTAATGTCTGCGCAGTTCATGTTCGCTGATGGTATAAGAGCTTCAGATAAATCTGTTGCTCCTGACATATCAAGTCCAATATTTTATGCCACAGAACTGGAAAACAATAGTAATGCAGTTCCTTTCAACCTTCACTGCATTATTCTGGAATGACAAAAATCTTCAAGACAGAGATATCCAATGCAGTCAGAGTTTAATGAAAGGACAATATAACAATGCGAGATAGGCAATAACACACGTAGTTTTATAGATACCTGCTCAACTAAATAACATTAACCTTTGGTACGGAAGTTTAAAAGCCAAACAAATTTAACATTAGGAAAGGTTAGAAAAATCAATAGCACACAGCAGGAAAGAAAACAATAGATTTCATCTGATGACAATACAGCTTTGGTGAATGATAGGATGAGGCACAGAGTATGAGACTTTTGCTGTTCTGTCTTATTATAGCAGCTATGGGAGGCACTTTGCTAAAGAAGGAGTGTGTCAGACACAATAGGATTGTTGAACCCTATATTTCAAACAGACACTGAATTCAGACAGGCACTGAAATGTCAATCTGAACATCTCGGCATTTCTCCATTTTTAGAAATGTTACACAGCACAGGACATTGTATATCTGTAGAAAGCAGTGTGTAGTTGTCCATTCTCCCATGTTCTTCTTAATTTTTTATTAAGAGAATGTAATGGTTTTGGTTTTTTTCTTTTTTTTTTTTTCTTTTTTTCTTTTTTTTTTTTTCCCCCTGCAATCTTTCTGAGTATGGAAACATAATTAGAATACATAAAATATCCTAATGTGTACTCTATATCTCTGGTCTTCCTACGGCACACCATTTAACACTATCTTTTGAAGCCTGTATCTGCTGTGCTCAGTGGGTGCACCAGTGACATTCAGTTCAGTCTTTTAACAATACCTGAGCACAGAGGCTCAACTTTTAGCTATCAGTCTCAAACAGATGTGCTTATGTATAGTGCTAATGCCACATATCCTCAAGCAAAACAAGGAGAAAGGAGACAGCATGTAGATTCTCTCAAAATCAGAGCACTGACAAATAAATTTTAAGAAACCCATATACATTAAATGTTATCTCCAAACATTCTCCTTCCCCTAGCCATTACCTACACAAACAGTAATGTACCCACTTTATCCTAATATTTCACTGACCAACTGAGGAAGACTGTAGATTCTGAGAACTATTTAATTTGAAAGGGACTTTTCAAAGTCATCTGGACCGATCTCTTGCTAAGAGTAAGTTTGATTTGCTCAGGTTTCTCAAGGCTCTTTCCAGTTCAGGTTTAGCTGGAAATGGAGTCACACTCCCCAGGATGGAGATGCCACTTCCCTGGGCAACCTCTTCCCGTGCTTGACCACTCTTGTGAAATTTTCTTTCCCAGAGTCAAACAGGGATCTCTTGTATTGCAAATAGTGGTTGTTACTTCTTCTCCTACCTCAGCTTAAGGAAGAATCTTCTTTTGTTTTCTCTCTGCCTTTCCATTAGAAGGTTTAGGACAACAATATGATCTGCTGTTCACCTTTTCTTCTGGAGGTTTGAACCTGACAGTCCACATCAGCCTTTTCTCATGCCATATGTTTTAGACTTCCCTAAAATGTATTTCTCTCACTTGTACTGTATCGGCATGCAGTATTTCCACCTTGGAGAGCCTGAAGAGGTCATTTAAGAGCAAGGAGGCAGAGGGTTCCCAGATCCCCTTTCCTTGTAAAGTAAATCTCTGGCCACAGGGAATTTCATTTTGCCCCTCTGGTATCCTCCTCCTCTTTATTCCACCCAGAGAATAACTCCAGCCTTCACATTCCTCATACACTAACTGCAGCCACCTGAAGGTTTTGGCCTCCCCAACATTTTCATACACAAATGTGAAGCAGGCAAGCATTAGCATCCTGAATTGGACTCAACAACTCTAGGAAAAAGCATACATGGATTAAAGCAAAGTACTTCTCTATGTACAGAAAGAGGAACAGAAATGGACTGCAGGATCTGACTGCAGGTCTTGGA